CATTTGGTATCGGTGGGCGAAGCATGCACCAAAGTGGGCGGGGTTTGCCACAAAGATACGTAGCTCGATTTCGTCCCCTACAAGACCTCATAATTCGGCTCCGAGATGACTTAGAGACCTGAAAAAATACGCCAGAGGTGAAAGTAGGAGTAGAGGTTGAATGTGAACGCTGGGCGTGGCACACCCGGATGTGGGCGGAGTTTGCCACCGCTCTCATAACTCGGTTCCTAGAAGTTCCGGCGACCGGGGAAAATGTGCATAAGTATTGAGGTATGGAGTAGGGTTGAATGCCATTGTTGGGCTAAGCATGCACCAAAGTGGGCGGGACGAAATCGAGCAACGTATCGTTGTGGTAAACCCCGCCCACTTTGTTGCATGCCTCGCCCACCGATATCAGTGACTATCATCTCTTCCCCAACCTCATTCTACTTTTTTCCCATCTCCGGAACTTATTGGAACCGAGTTATGAAGTACCGTGGCAAACTCCGCCCACTTTAATGCATGCTCCGCCCGCCAACAGCACTTGACCCCTTCCCTCTGCCAACCCTTATACGCTTTTTTCCCGGACTCCGGGACTCCTAGGAACCGAGTTATGAGCCTGGTTGCAAACTCCGCCCACTTTGATGTAAGCCACGCCCAGCCTTGACATTTAGCTTCTCCTCCCTCCTGACCTCTATCCACTGTTTTCCGGTCTCTAAGTCATCTCGGAGCCGATTTATGAGCTCTTGTAGAAAACGCTGTCCGCTTCACGACACGCTCCGCCCATTGTGGGCGGGCCTCCGTTCACATCATGTGTGCTGGAAATACCTTAGACATTGCTCCCTGCACTAATTTCTTTTCTGCTCTGTAGGCTTCCTCCTAACCGAGTTATGAATATTTTCATGAGCACCGCTTTTCTAGAGAACGCCCCGCCCACCGAGGGTGGGTCTCCCCAATTCAATCTGGCTTACCAACGCACATTTATAACCACTTTTTGTTCCAGTCTCGAGGCTGTTTTTGACTGTATTTGGAATCAACCGATGCACGCCACGCCCACTGTGGGCGGGGCTCCGCTTGGCTGATGTGTGTTTTTTACTTCTAGGGATATGGTATACCCATCCCAAACTTGACCTGGACCCTGTAGGTTGTTGTTCGCTTGATACCGAATTTCGTGACAGACGGACAGACAGACATAGCGGTATTTCATGATTTTTTTATCCTTTTTTCTCCAATGGCGGCCCACCTCCTACCCCTACGTCACATTTGAGTAGAATTACTTCACCCATTTGAGCCTGAATCTTGCCTTTAAAAGGTGAACATTTTTGTGAGACAACACGGCGTTTTAGGTTCGTCGCACCTCAAAAAAATGCGTAGTTCCATACATTTCCCTTCGGTTCTTTCTTGTCCTGAGGGATGAGAGTTTGTCAGTTTGACATGTGATGATATTCAATTTCTTGCTGAATACTACAGTTTGAGCGGATTTCCAGGAGCTTTCATGCTGTTTGGCACTCTCGTTCGAGCTACGGTCTTTTTTGGTCGTTCCCTTTCTGAATAATTCTCTGCACCACCGGGTGTTGGTAGTCCGTCTTTCATTCTCTTACGGAATTGGTTTGAACGTGATGTTCCTCTTCCCATTGCTTTTCTCTACGGCTGTTGGAAAAACTGTGAGCCTCGAAGAAATCGTTCTTTGAAGCTCTTGATCCGCCTCCTTGCCAGCCGTCGCAACTTTGAAGAGGTCTTCGCCAGAACTTGGGAAACAAATGTTTTCTTCTACACACCATAATTAGCAACAAGCAAATATATTGAAAAGGAAAAAAGGCGCATTAATTCCTCGTACAATGTTTGAAACCGTGCAAAATATCACGCGCGCGTGAGTTTTCGTCACCCATTACATCCCAAACAGACTCAAAATCCTAGGTTCACGGTGCCGCCTAAAGGTCCCTTCCGAGCTTTAGAGCTATCTTAAAGGAACCCTTCGCGAAAAAACTTGCATTCTTTCCCAACACGATATGTCAGTTGTGATCACTGGAAACAGCACACAAAGTTTCACGCATGAAGATTCGGTTTCCGAAGAGAAACAAACAAAACTACACTATATGGACATCGAAGGTAATTCGGGCGGAGCCTGTCGTGACATTCGTCCGACCGTTATCTTGGCCTGCGCACCCCCGCGGCTGGAAGGATGCGATGCGCTTCGGGACACATGGTCCCGCCGCGAAGATGCCAACGTGGCACTCTCTATGTCTGCATTATTTCCCGCCAAAAGTCAGTCAGTCGTAGCCATGCATTGACGCGGACCAGCCGCAGTTCGTCTCCCCCGAATGGCCAACGCCTAGCGACGATATTTCTGTCAAATATATTCACGTCGTATTCCTTCTAATAATGTACGCTGCAACGGTCGTCCACGTGAGCGTTTACTCTCTTATGAAGTGCACTTTTGTCATCTGCTATTTTATCTCTTATGATCCTTAAGATCACGTTTACGATACATCCTGGTAATTCAATGGAAGAAAGAGAAGAATTAAATGAGTTTGTTGGTACTTTGTTTGTATTGTAGCAAGAGTAATTGATCTCGATATTTATTTCATAGGTCTCGTCAGGTCAAGCGGCTAATCGGCCAAAATACATGTCGTATCTTCGGGGGCAGGCCCACCATGCCCGCGTACCATCTTCATGGTTACCACTCATTCTACCACCGAACTCTACGGCGCAACGCCCCCTCTAAAGATGGGTGACCAGGCACCTCCTCCCCAACCTGGGTTTGTGTTGGCAGGGTTATATCCAGCGCCGATGCCATCTACTCAAGCGCCCTGTCACCACAAAATTGGTGCATCGGCCCCAGCCGTTTCTGTCGAAAGGCAGACTCGGCTGTGGAGATCGACCCGTCGTTGCGCCTTTGTATGGGTATCAAAACGTACAGCATTCAGTCAGCGCGTAATGCGCCTATCAAAACGCTACCGGTAGGCCCAGTCTCCTAGGATCATGGATTGGAACCAGTGCCGCGGCAAGGACCAGTGGCAGGGGTCCTTTCGGCGTTAAGTCCTTCTGATAAATCTCGCAGGTAGCACCGGCCAGTCAGGGCCCGCATGAGCTCGGAGTTAGGGGCTCTAGTCGTCTTGTAAACGTAGCAGCTTTGGCAATCTTGGGTGTTTCTGCTGGGGAGGCCCCAGCTATAATACGTTGAATGCCATTGGGAAGGCCGTTCAAAATACGGGATGCCCTTTGGGAGGCCGTTGATGCCACGGGGTAGGCCCAGGTACACCAAGAGCACGACAGCTCCGGGGTTGGCCAAAACCGCTCGTTCACATACGCTAGGTGGTAGCGTAATTGTAGTCGCATTCCGTAAGTCAGCTCAATTTTCCATGCTGTTTCCTACCTAGTTGCATATTACCATTTCCAATGCGTTCTTCATCACTTGTTGCCACACACGGTACCAGATCGTTTCGTATTTGTTACGCTCGCGTACAAGTGATCGTTAGTGACCATCAAATCAAGTATCACCTTTTTAGCTTATAGGTTTGTTGCGACTAGTCTTGAACGTCGACTCCATGTCTAACTTACGTGGGCACAAGAGCCGTTTAACATCAGCGGTCGGTACTCTTTCAAAGACAATTTCCTCTGTCGATTTAACTTATTTAACTTCCTTAGATACTTCAACGGCACCAGAGATCCAGCTCCGAGAGATCATCCGTCGCAGAGCAACAATTACTGGCAAAAAGTTTGCCATCCAACGTGCGTTGGAAGTCGTGAAAGAGCGCTACAATGCTCTCATGCTTTTTGTGCAAAGTCGGGAAGATAGCTCTTCGCTAAGCGAAGAAATCGATCAGTTTTGGAGCCAACTTTATGGCGAAAAGTTTGAGCAAGACGCGACAGAAACAATACTGGCGCTCGACACCCAACTCACCATAGACGAAGCGTTAGAAACATCACTTCGATCACAGATTACAGAAAATATCACGCACGCCGCAGCAACTCTTGCTATTTCAGATTCTCCTGGTCGCCTCAATTCGTCTAGCGACCCCCCGTCGGAATCTAACAGGGAAAATCCGCATCAGCTATCGTTTAACTACTCCACCCCTCATCAGTCGGTTCCCCTCGTGCAGCCTATTCAACTCCGCAGGTTGGAATTGCCGACGTTTGATGGAGACGTCACACAGTTTCATGATTTTTGGTGCCGCTTTAAAGCTGCAGTGCATGACAATGACTCGCTCTCTCTTGCAACCAAGTTTATTTACTTGACCAACTCTCTCAGAGGACCTGCTGCGCTCATCATACAAGGGTATGACCCTTCAAAGTCGGAAAACTATCACCTTGCGGTTCAAACTCTCAAAAAACGTTATGATCGCCCGCAGTTTACTCATAATCTATTTCATCACAAATTAGAACAACTTCCTACTTCTTCAATTTCAGCTTCTTCACAGCGAGACACCCTTTCGCACATCCAATCTTATGTTTTACAACTTAATCGCTTTGAGGATACAACAACGTCATTGTCTCTCATGAAACTCATCAGGAAGAAATTTCCACGTGACACGCAAATGGAGGTTAATAAACTTGAGCACAGATCAGGCAAGATTTGGACGCTCCCAGAGCTTCTGGATGGCTTCAATGAAGTCATCGAGGAACTTGAACAGCTGGAAGATCATCAGGTTGGTAAATCAACGGTTCAAGAGTTTAGTGTCAATTCAATTACCCGTTCTCGTTCAAGGTCTACCTCTCCAGAGCCTACAATTAATCCTAATTGCTGTCTTTTTTGTACATCACGTAACCATGTTTCCATGCGCTGCAATCGTACAATGCCCGTGTCCACACGTCGTGTAATAGCTAAGTCGCTCCGTCTTTGCTGGAAGTGTTTGAGGCAAGGGCACACCAGCTCTCAATGTGGATACCCCAAATGTAAGCATTGCAGAGGAAATCATCATTCTATCCTTTGTACCAAAGAGGCACACTCGCGAAGCGATCATCAACGTCACACCTCTGACCGTCATCGTACACCATCTTCGGATTCCTCTCGTGATCATTCCAGATCCCCTTCTTACAAAGATCATCGTTACCGTTCACCCAATTACCGTTCTGAGGGCAGTACGTCGCCAACACAACACAGATCCCGCGGTGTTAAAACCCATTCGGTCCGTTTCACTACACTGGAAAGACGCAAGGACTCGCCGCACCCCAGCAAAACTTCTGCGCCACGTGAACAAGGAACGTCGGTCCATCTATCTATGCGGGATCGGAGCGAGAATACTGATTCATGCTGATTCACCAAGACCGATATGACGCAAAATATACAACTTATCGCTGCAATTAATACGCCGAAAAGTTGCACTTTGATGACCGTCCAGGCGTCCATCCTCAATCCTAAGACAAGAAAACAACGCCCTGTCGTTATTCTGCTAGACACTGGAGCACAAACCAGCTTTATCAGTAAAGCAGCAGTCGAAGAACATCAGCTTGACGTGTTTGAGCAAGATCTACTTACCACATATTCGTTTGGAGCTGTGAGCACAACAGAACACTCTGGCAAGTCCTACATCACTTTAATTGATCGACACAATCAGCCGATATCGCTTGTGCTGCACACCAAAGATAGGCTTACTATTCCATCTCCACCAACTCGTTTAACGGAAGAAGATCGAGAAATCCTTCGTTTACTCAATGTGTCGCTGCAGTCGCTTACAGCCGTTCGTCCGGTCCCCGCCTGAACATCCTCCATCGGCATACAGGGTGGCTACTAAATATTGGCGCATGGTTTATTGACCATATTTTTGCAAAGAGAAACTATTACATATTCAGAAGTTTATTTTTATATACAGTAAAACATATCCATGCATCACTGAAGAAGGTGCTCGAAATGGCCTCCCTCGGCAGTGATACAGGCTTCAAGTCTCTTCTCAACTGACATCACCGTGGGCCGCAAGTAAGTGACGTCAACGTGACGCGAGAAGATCATCACACTGGAATTGGCGCACAATTCTCAAAAGGACAGGCAATTGTTGGATCCGGCTAGCAGGCATCCTGCTCGACGTCGTGCGCACACAAGGAGCCGATTTCCAAAAATCTGTCATGATTTAGGCAGGAATTACTTCCGACACCGAGACACCGTTTGTCTTTGTGGACAAATCCGTCAAAATTAACGCCCAGATCTACCAGGAAACAATTTTACGTGATGTGCTCGTTCCATGGACTGTTTCGACCTCCAGCAAATGTCAGTGCCTTCTTCAGCAAGACTAGGCTCCTCCCCATGCCGCAAAATCTACGCTGGTGTTCTGTGACCGCCATTTTCCAGGTTACTGGTCACCAGATGTTTGGCCATCTAACTCACCCGATTGAACCCAATGGATTTTGCGGTGTGGGGCTTCCTGCAGCAGAAGATGCCTTCTAGGCAACATCGAAGTTTGGACTTCCTGAAGGCTTCCTAGGAGGAAGCGTTGAAGTAACTCGACGAAAACTGCTTGCGGCCCACGGTGATGTCAGTTGAGAAGAGACTTGAAGCCTGTATCGCCGCCGGAGGACTTCTTTCCGAGCATCTTCTCTAGTAATGAATTGTTATGTTCTACTGTATATAAAGATAAACCTCTGAAGATTTAATAGATTCTCTTTTTGGAAATATGGTCAATTAACCATGCGCCAATATTTAGTAGCCACCCTGTATATTTTTTCTGGATATTCTGACTATAAATCACCAACAACTCTCCCTTCTGGATTAGTTCTTTGCTACACTCGATTCGGACCCACAATCTCAGGATCGAAGTTTTTTCGTTGAACTCATGCAACACAAACCTGTCGTCATCAATAGCATCTCCATCCAAAGCGATACTGACCCCATTTCTCGTTTCGATAGCCTATCATCGGCATTACTGACAATCCTGACCCACTCTAT